TGAATCTTGCTAGAGTCGATGGGTTTCGGTTTGAACCCTGAGTTAGGACGAACTTCGTCTAGTTTTAGAAACAACTTTATACTTAGACCTAAGCTAGGACCTAGACTGAGATCTAGACTAGTTGGGTACGAGTCTTGGCTAAGACCGAGAGGGGGCCTAAGTTCGGACCTGGGCGTGAACCTTGTTCAAACCTGGGCTAGGCTAGTCACAAGCCTGGGCTTGGACCTAGAAGGATTGAATATCAGACTAGGTGTTGACCCGGACTAGATCAAGGTTGGGTAAGGCACGAGCCTTGGCTCGGGCCAAAAGGGGCCCAAGTTCAGACCTAGGTGTGAACCTGGTTTGGACCTAGGCTAGGCTAGGCACATGCTTGGACTCAAACCTAGAAGGTTTCAAATTCAGACCGGGTGTGACCGGATTGAGATCTTAGACAAGCAATGCACTCGAAAACTTTGCCCTAAATTTATGGGTAGGCTAGGTCTGAGTGGGCTCCTAACTATTCAAATGCGGCTAGGCTAAGTAAGTCCCCACGTAGGTCCTGGCCACCTGTTAAAGAAATCAACCAAGTCCTACTGTATGTGGAGTTGCTTTGAGGCTAATGATTACGGAGGGAAACTCACAGTTAAAGTTACACGAATATCAACCGCTTCAGCTCTCAATGCTAGGTTCCCCTCATGATGTTAATGCCGAATTTTGGGGGATTTCGAAATTTCTTTGTTGGTTTCATAGATTTCCCCTGTCCGTTGTGTCTAGTAGTATGCAGTAGTGTGTAAAAGAGCCTGCAAGTGAAAAGAACGTGACAAACAAGCAAACACACAAGAAACAAATGTGAGCAGTTGGCACATGTCGTACCAAGTGAGGTATGCTTCAAGTCGGATTTTAACAGACCAAAAGCACAGTTCAAGTGTAGGGGTAAGCACGCCCCAAGAATGTATGATGTTAATAAATGTAAAACCAGGCGCCCCCTCGTGCCAAGTTGAGCGCCCTTTGAGTCGAGGGTGATTCAATCAGGGCACAATTAGAGAGAAAAGTGCAGGTGACCTTTTTTTTATTTTTTATTTATTTTTAACCCCTTTCTCATTAATGAAAAGAGAAAGAAGTGGCAAATGCCGAATTACAAGCACACAAGTGAAAGATATATATATTTTTCAAAGAGATTATTTTACCAAGTCTTTTTTTTTGTGAAAAGAGGAAGGGACCTTAAAGGTAATTTTTTTTTTTGAGTGGAGATTTTCTTCGTTTTTTTTTTGAAAATGAAGTTGCTTTAAAAGAGCAACTTTTGAAGCAAAAGTGATATTTTTTTTTTTTTTTAAATGATGTCTTTAAAATTTTATTTTTTTATTTTTAACAAAGAGGCTTAAAAAAGTGTTGATTTTTTTAGGAAAGAAAATTTTTTCTTTCTTTTTTTTTAATGAAAATGCCTAAAGATGAATATTTTTTAATAAGAAAGATGACCTTAAACACCCACTTTTTTTTCTTTATTCTTTTTTAAGCAAAGAGGGTTTTTTTATTTTTTTATTTTTTTTTATTTTTTATTTATTTTATTTTAGAAACAAAGATATTTATAAGAAAGGTTTTTTTTATTTTTTTATTTTTTGGTAAAAGAGAAGATTTTTATTTCCTTATGAAACAAAAAGTTTTAGTTTTTTTATATTTTTTAAGTCTAATCTAGAGAGATAAGATAAGAGAAAATCTAGTCTAACTGTGCAGGATATGGATAAAGCAAAAAATTAGTACTAATTGTGCAGGATATGGATAAAAAAAAAAAATCTAACCAAGTAAAGATAAAACAAGAGATAAAGAATTTAAAGAACTAATCTATAAGTAAGAGGAAACAAGAAATAAGGAATTTGTAAGCCTAATTTACGCTTTCTTTTTTTTTTTTAAAGATGAAAATAACTAACTCTAAACCAATTCCCACAACAGAAACGGGGTGGCCTTTTCTTACAAATTAGTAACAAACACCCAAATCTTGTTTACTAAGAAACAAGCTCTCCTTCTTACCGAACAGTTACCCATATCGGTTTACCAAGAAACAAGCCCTCCTTTTTTACCGAACAGTTGAAACCTAAATTGTCCCAGATGTTCGGTAGAGATGGAGAGAGAATGAATTGTTGAACTTGTGGTTAATGGGAAATCCGTGAACTAGAAGAAATCCCACTGCAAATTAAGTGGTTGCAAAGGGTGAAAAAAAAAAAAAAAAAAACTAACAAAATAAAAAAACAAAACTGCTACGATTAGCAAAGCAAGGGCTAACCTTGCCTCTAGGAATAAAAAAGGGAGACCGTCAGATAGAACAGTGGGTCACTGTCAATGCTTAGAGAAAGAATTTGAAAAATGGAAAAAAAACCTAGATAGAGAGAGATTTGGTTGGGCATTGCGAAATTTTTTTGAGAAAATTTGGGCCATGGTAATGGTTGCCGTAGATGGTAAAACAACAAAATCTGTTCAAGAGAGAGAGGAGGCCCAAGTCGACAACCCAAAATTCTTTTTTTTTAAGAAAAATCCTTGAGAATGCTATTTTTATTCTTTTTTAAAAAAGTGTTTATAGTTAGCCCGGGGATTCGAGGCCTAGCCCGTATCAGGACGGCAGAGTTTATGTCGTATGTCCACTTTGTCTCTCTTTAGGTTTTGACCAAGTCTTGGCTTGGCTAGATGGCTTTCTTAACTTAAAAGGTTGTAGGTTTAATGGCCTAAAATTAATGTTTCTTTTAAAGCCAGGTTTTATTGGGGTTTTCTCCGGTTTTATCAAAGTCTAAGAAGTCTAAAAGTATCACCCCCAGAAATTATCCTAAAATGATCTTTCAAATGTTGAAAATCCGCTGTAGTGGGTAACGGCCAATTTCATATGGATTATCCACCCCGAATAGTTGTTTTGGGGTCAACATATCAAAAGGGTCCACATTGAATGAATTTGCCCAGAAATGGTCCGGGAATGGTTGGCATGCGGAAATTGTCATTTTTGGTCAGTTGGGTTGGGCTGCACCATTGGTGTTGTCTAGATCAAATCGGCTCAAAATTGACAAATTCTAGTTCTGGGGTGATTTACAGGCTCTTGTGGTGCTGTCTACCAAAATTTGGGTCAAAATGAAGAGTTTTGTTATTTTTATTGATTTTTTTACTAAAAAATGATGTTTTGTAGGATTATGGATTTATAGGTCAGGCAGTGTGGACTATGGTGATCTATGGTATGGGGGTTTACTGAAATATTATGGTCCTAAGGCAGTCTAGGGTTTAGAAAAATTATTGAAATTGTTAGTTTTTCAAAATGGGTGTCTACACTACTCCCTCATAATAAATGTTGGCACTACAGTTCGTGGAAACCCCGGACGTGCCATTAGGAAAAGTGACGTTACGGATCAGCTTTAATATTCAAGTTTTGACCAAACTCACACTTGTGTTTTTGGAAAATTATTTCATGCGGTGGGGATTGCATTTCTACATTTGCAGTTCTGGAAGTATAAAGCATCCATCTTCAAGATGGATACAAACAGGTGGTCCATCTAAAAGCAATTGAAACCAATTGTCCAAATGTTTTTTAATAAATTATTATTTCAATTTTTAAAATTTATTTATTTTTCATATTCATGATCCCATGTTAAAGATTACATGTCCTCATAAATTAAGTCAAAAAATCCATCTCGAACCTATACTTTTAAGGGGTAACTCAGATGGACTCATAAAAACCATGTCCTACGTTTTTTAGCATAAAAAACTAGTTATAATCAACTCTTGTAGAAGCACCTTGTAGACCTCCACCAAATGAAATACCTCTTTAAATAAGAATTTTATCCTTGATTTTTATATCTTAACTAGGGAAAAAAAAACCCTTTTTCGGAACTTAAGCTCTTAATCGGAGTATTTTTGGGAAAAATAGGAAAAATGACATGATCGTAAAATATGAAATATTAGTAATAGTTTCTTAATTCCACAATTATAAGGAATATTGACATAAATATCCCTATAATTTTACCAAAACTATTTTACCTATTGTTGTTTTTTTTTTTTTTTTTGGTGGTATGTCAGTGGAGATTTGGGTCCTTACCCTTTGATGAGAATGTAGTCGAAGACCTCCCTATAGGGCTTGGCAATACTACCGGCAAGGCTCCAAGCCATTATCAAAAAATAGATTTATTATTGGGATAAAGAGAGGGTGTGCGTAGTATTTGATGTCATACAAATATCACAAATATGATTTTATAGAAGTGTTATTCCATTATATTACAAAAAGATAGGGTGGCATGAAAGCTCTCCCAATATATATATGGAAAATGTTTATACAAGGTTGCAACCTTAACATGTAGAACTACGGATGCACTTCAAAAATCCATCGGAAAAGGTAGTATTAATGTTGAAAAACCCTGTGATTGATTATCTCAACATCGAGATGTATGACCATGAAAAATAAAAAGATTTTAAGTCTCAAAAATAGTGCATTTTACAACATATTATCTACACCGTCTATTTTCAAGATTTTCATGTGTTTATAGATCTACTAGATTTTAACTATTTTTGAAATTTAAAATTTTATAATTAGATATAAAATAGATTTTGAGATAATTCTAAAAACATTTTTACATACCATGATAAAATTTAAAAGTGCACGTTACCTCTCTACAGCTACGGATGCTTCCGTATGTCAACGCCAACTGCACCTTATATATATATATTACATGCAACATACATATCACCCCTTAGGGTATTTCATATATGTGATGATATTATGGAACAAATTTTCGAAAGCTCTAAGGCTGTTAATATTCGCTATCCTCCTCTTTTTCTGGGAGGCTTATCTAATCTCTTTCTATAATCAATCAACAAAATCCCAATATTCTTACCCCCTAATTTTCCTCTAATTTTCTTATTAAATTTCACATATAAATACAGGTTCAGGAGCCTGGCCCCTCTCCAAAAACTAGAAAGCTTGGAAACCATCATTCTTGGTAGGAGAACCTATTTTGGTGGCCTGGAAACCTCTTTTGATCACCAGAAAACTTCCAATGGCCAAGGCAGTAGTGGTTTTCGATTTCGATGAGACGATTTTGGACTGCGACAGCGATAATTGGGTGGTTGAGGAGATGGGTGTTGACGACCTCTTTAAGGAGCTTCTCCGCACCATGCCTTTGAACCCAACAATGGTAATTGCCCTTTCTTGTTTATTAATTATTTGTTTATTGGTTGTTTTTCTTGTTATTTTTATTGGATTTTTTTGGGTTTTTCATGTATTGGTTCTTGGCTTTAGAGAAAAGCTGGTTATTATATATACTGGTTTGCCAAGAGGTATACAGTTCTTTTGTAATCCTTGTCTTTAGGGATTACGAAATGTGGGTCTCTCTATCTCAGTTATTGAAAAATCCGCTACTCGGCTGAGTTGCTTGGGCTAGGAAAATCTGCCGAGTAGTTTTTATTCCGTTGAGTTACTCGGGGTTTGGGACCTTGTCGAGCTGAAATTTGAAAATATTAAAAAAAAAAAAATCACCATAAAAAATAAAAAATTTATTTGGGATTATTTATTTATTTTTATTTTATGTTTTCCATCATAAAACGAATTGAAAAGTGTTTTAGCCATAGAATTTATTGTTCTATTTTTAGATTATTTAAAAAATACTCTCAGTAACAAGTTTATATTTTAAAATTTATTTTTTTCTTACTTTTTTTTAGCATTAATTTGTAGTGTTTTTCTTAATCTTACTTTGTGTTTTCTTTAATATTACTTTGAAGGCACATTCCTATTTTTTTGAAAATTTTTATATTTGTTATAATTTTTTGAAATTTTTTTGCTGCAATTCTGCTCAGGCCAAGACCGATTACTTGGACGAGTAGCACTTTCTAACACTGCTCTCTTGAACATTACCCTCCCTCTCCCTTGAATATTATCACCTGTCTCTTTCTCTCCTCCCTGGGAGACTATTTAGAGTCGGCTTTTACGAGGAACCATTAACATTTTTGAAAAAAACTATTACTCATAATGCTATCATTATCACTATTAAACAACCCTATTTAAGTAAAAAGAGGTTGGAAGAACTTTTATAATTAATTGTATTACCCAAACGTGAGGATTGAGAGGATACAAGAAGATCCAATCTCTTCATTTTAGAGATATATTTAACAAAAATATCTTAATAGTGTACAACAATATAAAAATTTGAAATTCAAGATGCGAATTTTAATTCTAAAATTTTGGTAAGCACAATGGAGCCTAACATTGCTAACGGTCAACTTAACTCCAAGAAACTGAAATTGCTTTTTTTCAAGAGTTTTTATGAATGTATTGGATCTAACTTGTTTTGTTTTTAAATTTTGTTTATTCACAAAATGTCGGCCAGCATTCGTTTATTTACATTGGGTTCTCTTTTTATGTAAAATTTACAGGATAGGATGATGGGGGAGCTCCATTCAAGGGGAAAGACAATTGAAGAAATCGCAGAAATCTTGAAGAGGGCCCCATTCGATCCTCGCGTTATTTCGGCCATTAAAGCTGCACACGCTTTGGGGTATTCACATATTCCGTTATTTCGTTTCTTTTCAAAGAAAATTCCGTTTCTTAAATGGAAACTCGAGCTGTTTTTGCCTCATATTTCATGGCAAATCAAAAACAAAATTCACAAAAAAGCTTCCGAATATTCGTATTTTTTTGTTAGAAGGCCCCTGTTTCTAAATTAATACGAGAAACACCCTCGTTACGGTCCTTTTGTCTTTTTTATGTGGGTTCAGAGGTATTTTGGTAATTTTTTTACTGAGCTAATTTTTTTTTATACGGGTTTAGAGGTATTTTGACAAATTTTTTATGGACCCCGTTTCAATGCGACCCAAGCTCGCATATGAAATCCGGGCGGGCCTATTAATGCATCTAATTTTTTAGATAAGAGTGATATCTTTCCTCGGGCTTTCCGTCAGGGCAACCGACGCATATTACATTAGAGAGGCAATTTTGTCATTTACTCGGTTTGAAAAAGGACTCAAAATTACAGAGTAATTCCTGAATTTGTGGATTTTCTTTTTGTTTGAAGGGTTCTTATCCTCCAAATTGATTTTGTCATTTATTTTTATTTTTAAAATTTTATTGATGTAAATTTTGGGGTATCCATGAATCGGGCTGGGTTCCCAGGACCCAACCCGAGACCCGACTAATTGACAGGTTCGGATCTAGATCTTGGACTCGAATAGTAAATCGGGTTGGGTCCGAGTCCATATGGTGCTGCCCCAGACCAGATACAGTTATTTTAAAATACTATATAATAATTTTTATATATAAATTTATAAAGATTAATATAGTAATTTATACACTTATTTTCATTCGGCACTCTTCATTTTATAGCTTTATCCACCTCATATATAAATTATTGCCCAAATCTTCTTATTAGATATTTATATTTTTTTGGTAATTTTTAATAATATCAATTTTTAGGTTATTTTTTTATTTTTAGCTAATGTTTTATTTTTTATATAATCCTTCTAGTGTGGGTACGGGTCCTCCAAATAAATTCCGGGTTGAGAAATTTTTCCAAGTCCTAAAAACTCCTAAATATTTCATAGTATTGTGGTTATTTTTTTATTCAATTTAATTTTTATTTTTATTTGTAATGAATAAAGAGATAACAAAATTTTTTATTTATCACCCTCGAATGGCCTAGAGTAACTAATTCTATATTTCGCTATCATAATTCTTTTGGGTAAAAAGTCGATCTTTGTTTTTTGTGAAACCGATTTGGGCATTTATTTATTTATTTATTTATTTTTGTTTCTAATGTTTACTAACGTTGGCCATTTTTCTTTTATTATGGAATTTCAGGTGCGATGTGAGGATCGTGAGCGATGCAAACACGTTTTTCATAGTGAGTATATTGGAGCACCATGGTCTCCTCCATTGCTTCACAGAGATTAACACAAATCCGGCCTTTATTGACGATAATGGAAGGCTAAACATCCGCCCTTGTCACAAGTCACACAATTGCCCAATCTGCCCTCCCAACATGTGCAAGGTATATTACTACACTCTTGAAAGAATTGTATTTATGGTCTCTGGCCCTGGCCGGGCCCTTGTCCCCGGAGGGCTGGCCTAGGCCTGTACGCCAGCCCCAGGCCAAAGAACCGGGCAGCCCCTTATCACCATAAGGTTGGCATAGGCTTGGCACAGGCCAAAGAATCAGACATGCCCTTGTCCATCATAGGGGTGGTGTTGGCCCAACAAAGGCCAAAGGACCTGTAAGCTGTATTGTGGCCCGAGCCAAGCTCGAGTTCTTGGGCCATGGTTGCATGGCTTGGGCCCTCGACCCACATTTTGTAGTAGTCTCTAGTTTTTAGGCCGAGCAAAGCCACAAGGCTTGTTAGTCCTAATTATTTGTGACACTTTTATCCATGTAAAACTCTTAAACTCTTAATCTACATCAAAACTTAATACACCATCTAAGGACAATATAAAATAGGACTTCAATGAAAGAAAGGGCCTTCGGTATTTCAATCATTTCCCCCAAATGGTCTTCTTGGTGATGTGGACTACTATTTGCCGTTTGGTTTTTAAGTAGGTAACCTTTTTTACAAAAATATACAATGAAATTATTTACTTTTAGTACAAGGTGGTGAGATTTAATCTTGACTATTAAATAAGAAATTGGGTAGCTACATTTACTTTATTTACTAAATTCAAAAAAATTTAAAAAAATTCTCAACTCTGTGACACACCTAAGCTATCACATTGCACAACGTATGGTTATCCGAAATTTTGAAATCTTTGTACTAAAGGTCATTGTATACATCCTTGTACTAATATATATATATACACACACACAGAAGAAAAGTCTTTTCAATGCCTATCGGTGAAAATGAATAGTAATTTTGCCTGCCCTCATCACCGTCCAAATTTCATTGCGCAGTCACTTTTGTTCGGTAGTGTTTTATTTTTCATTTTTTTTCTAGAAGTTGGAATGACTTGAAATTTAGAGGGTATGTACATCTTGCTAAGGCGCATCTAATAAAAATATAAAAAACATTATCCGTAAATAAATTGACCAAAATACCCCCAAAACGTTTTGGGGGTATTTTGGTCAATTTTTTTCATGTAAAATAGTTTTTTTATAATTTTATAAGATTTCTATATTTTTGAAGAATACAAGCTCTAAATTTCAGGTCATTCTGATTTGTAAAAAAAATGAAAAATGAAACACTACCGAACAATCGTGACTGCGCAATAAACTTTGGACGGTGATGGGGGTAGGCAAAATTACCGTTCATTTTCACCTATAGACGTTGCGTAGTGTTTTCCATATATATATATATATATAAACAATTGAGCAACAAACTCTCTCTCTCACTTAGTTTCTTCTAAGATCTTTTGGACTTGTCCAAAACTCTCTCTCTCTCAACTTGTCCCTGATTATGAATTTCAGGGCTTGGTCATAGAGCGAATTCAGAGCGAAATAGTTGGCAGTGATCGTTGTATCGTGTATTTAGGCGATGGCAAAGGGGACTACTGCCCCTCTCTAAAACTTGGCCATGGTGATCACGTCATGCCCCGCAAACTCTACCCATTTTGGGACCTCTTACAATCCAATCCCTCTCTCATCAAAGCCACAATTCATGAATGGAGCGACGCAGGAGAACTTGAGGCTAAGCTTCTGAATTTTATTAGAAAGAATGAAAAGAAGGAAGAATTCACTTCTGAGAGTAATGGTTTTGTTTAGGAGAGTTTGAGTGATCGGCTGCTTTCTTCGGTGGTGGATTGCAAGTCTCGAGTTCATGAAGCCCCTCTTCCTCCAGTCCTGCGTGTTATGCAGTGATCGAAAGATTGATGAGAGATTTAAAGGCTTTCTCTCTTTTCGATTTTCTTCATTTTGTTTAGAACATTCATTGTTGACGGATAAGAACTATTCCTCTGTTGCTTACTGTAGCTCTCCAATTTTACATATTTTTTGCTCTCCCTCTCTTGACTAGTTTATTTTTCCTCAATTCCTCTGAATTGATTGTTATTTAATTGGATGCTAAGAAGAAAATAGAAGCGAAAGAAAATGTAATCACATCTACCGTGTAATGTGACTGATGTTGATGTTTGTATTTGACACCTACTAATGTTGTGATTTTAGTTTCACAAAGAATCATCATCATATGAAGCTTATCTAAACTATTTGGGTCGAATACACAAATTCCATTATACCATTCTATTCTATCAATAGTCATACCCTCAATCAAACTGTAAATCTTATCTCATTTCACTTCTTGTATCTATATCCCTTTGGGCCTTATTTTTACCCTTTTAGTGGCTTCTTATTATAGAAGTAATGGTTGCCCATCTTCTCATGATCAATTTGTAACACAAGATCTACTTGGAGGACATTGGATAATCTTTTAACATGAGATCTACTTGGGGACATTTGAAAATCTCTAAAAGACCGGCAAAGTCATGAACTTTCTCCTTTTTAGTTCAGCTGTAAGAGGTGAAAGCAGCCTAAAAAATTTTCCACAGTTTTCCTTGTCACGGGAAAGACCACCCCATAGTAGTTTTCCCTATAAGAAAAACAAGGTACAAGCTCTGATTTTCAGCAAAAGAAGGTAAGTGATCCCTGGTTCAATGATTTGTATATATCTGGTCTCATCCATTGGTCTCTCTTTCTTTTCAGGAAGAGTTTCTCCACATTTTCTAGGGCATCTTTTGCTTCCTTTTAGGTTCAATTTCTAGGGTTTTTATCCAGCTTCGGAGGTAATATGATGATTTATGGTTCGCCATTTTGATGCTCATATTTTCAAGAGGATATAGTTGTAGGGAAAGATGGGTGCTTTGAGTGTGATCTCTATTTGCCCTTGCAGGTTATCTTTTAGCCATAGTTACCAAGATCGCTTCGGAATCTTGCTCCGATATTCTCGAGCTGGGATCTCGCTCGGAATCCATTTAATTTTTTTTGGGATCTCGCTCCAGTTTTTAAGATTCTCGATCTTATTAACATTGGAGCTCGCTCCCTCTACTTCAGGGATCTCGCTTCCTCTAATTCAGGATCTCGCTCCCATTCACAACAAATCTCACTCCCGCGATAGCATGGATCTCGATCCCATACACAAAGGATTTCGCTCTTTTTACTACACGGATCTCGCTCCCATTGTCTCACGGAACGCGTTCCGTAACATTGTAGATGTGGTTTCTGAACAAATTAGATCCCCGCTCCCAAACTTTTAAGATCGCAATCCTGACTTCTTGGAACTAGAGCCTAACCTAATAAGGTTGTGACCCCAATCCTATAATCTATGGAGCTCGCTCACGAAGAAAGTGGATCCCGATCCCGAAAGTATAAGGTTCTCGATTTATGAAATGCTAGATTGCGATCGTTTGGAACTCGAACGTTGACTCCATGTCTATTTATTCGTTCATTGTAGTTGGTGATTCATACCTGCAATGGGCATGTAATTGTGCCTATAGTAATTCCAAAAAAAAAGGCGTAATTTTGTATAGGGTGTAGTTTCCATAAGGTTACAAATTACAACCTTAAACAATCCATTTAAGTTGCACCTCTAAATTTTATTATAATATGGAATTTTGGTGATTTTTTTTTTTTTAAGATTATCTAAAATCTATTTTTATTTTCAATTATAAAATTTTAAACTCCAAAAATGGGTAAAATCAAGAAGATCCCTAAGCCTATGTAAATCTTGAAAATGGACGGTCTAGATAATGTGTTGCAAGATTCAAACTTTTTCGTACAATTGAGGGTGTTACTTCTATTTATTTGTTCAGTGTAGTTGGTGATTCATGCCAGCAATGGGCATTTAATTTTTCCTATAGTAATTCCAAAACCAAAAAGGCTTAATTTTGTATAGGGTGCGGTTTCTATAAGGTTACAAATAACAACCTTAAACAATTTAATTAAGATGCCCCTCTAAATTTTATCATAATATGAAATTTTGGTGTAATTTTTTTTTAAGATTATCTCAAATCTATTTAAATTTTCAATTATAAAATTTTAAACTCCAAAAATGGTTAAAATCAAGTAGATCCCTAAGCCTATGTAAATCTTGAAAATGGACGGTCTAGATAATGTGTTCCAAGATTTAATTTTTTTCGTACAATTGAGGGTGTTGCTAGATTCATTAAATACTTCCCTAAAGATTAATAGTCTAGCAACAGATTTTTCAATCAAAAAAAATTGTGGTACATAAGATAGTGCACTTCACAAACAAAAATTAAAGGTTTTTCTTAGAGATAGAAAGACTCAAATATACAGAGTGAAAGAGACAATGCTTAGAAAGACTCGGTCTATCTGAGTTTTGTCTTCTTCAGCCTCTATATCTAGGTACAAGTTTTGATGTACTAAAAATTGTAATATTCTCGGATGCCAAGATAAAAAGATAGAAGGTAAGAACCGTTTGGAAGGATAGCCTCATGAAGTTTTTTAGTTCATTAAAAAAGGGGTGAGGTTCGTATAACGTGCCGACCTTATACTACAGATGTAAGGTGTGCCTCAAAAGAGAAAGATTGTCTATATGGGTTATCCGGGTGATAACTGCCAGCCCATTTTCTCAAGATGTGGATGTGGATCCTACGGCCATAAGGTGGGGTTGCCTACACTTGGGTAGGAGAGGGTCTCATAGGATCATTACTTATTAAAAATAGTTTGCAAAAATAAGAAGAAAACAAACACAAAAGCATAAGCAACTCAATCTGTCAACAAAATAAATTAGAAT